GACTGGGGTGATATAAGCTCACAGATATTTATACTGCCCCGACTGGCGAAAGTCAGCTTTCAGAATTAGCTCTTAGGGGTTACACATTAGCTTTGAACACATCACAGATATATTATCTTCCCCACAAATGTTCAGAAAAATGAAGTTTCAAGGCAGTTTGGAGAACAATGATCTTTAAGTACAGCTCTCAAGGCTGAGAAAACATCTGCACACATTAACTGGTTCGACTGGGAAGAGGAGAACCTATTGAGATATATGTCAGAGTGATAGAGGTAGCAAGCAGTTACTATAGATCAGTTTGATCTGTTTGTCAGACCTAGCTGTCATGCTAGTAATGATGTAATTACAGCCAGGTGTTTTCTAGCAGGTGTTACTCTTTCAGGGCTTGTTAGAGTTAGTGATTGCATCACCCTGTTAGAGATTGGCTGGGTTTTAGCATAATAGCTATCAGTTTAGTAAGCTGGGTGGGGACTTAGTTCTAATAGACTAAGGCACGACATGCTGTTCAATCGCCTGTAAATATCTCTGTATATATTCACCTTTATAACTATATAAACTCTCTGTGCACCTTCATAACTGGTCAGTCTCCCGCTTCTTATTTACAACACCCAAGAGAACCCAAACAAACTTCAGTTCACTGCTTATCAGCCTAACAGCTTGCAGCAAACCAACAGTCAGCAGCTCACGTAAGTAGATATCAATCATGCCAATATCATTCAATATGCCCACTGATGCTTATGCCATAAAATGACCACTGATGCTTATCCCGTAGGGGGAGAGACAACAGCTCAGTGGGAGAAGGCATACTTTCAAAGTCCTAAATTCCAATCTTAACTATGGCACCCAGCTTCTATCCAAGCAGTTCTCATGATCCACAGCATTACCTTTTCAGAAATCAAACGGGTCCTGACTATTCTTCTGCCTGAGACCCCGGAGAGCTGCCGCCAGTCAAAATGGACAGTACTGAACATACAATATAGATGGATCAATAGCCAGATTCCCTATCAGGTAGCTTTGTATGCTCATTGAGTGGGTACAGCCAATCAGTCTGCATGTGCGAGGTCCTAGGTTCAGTCTCTGATGTCTCAGGTTGGAGGACTAGGAAAGACCGCTGTCTAAAACCCTGGAGAGTCACTGCCAGTTAAAATAAATGGTAAAATAGACCAACAATCTGTGTAAGGCAATTTCATATGTTCGTACAGAAAAAAGATGCACATCTAATTTGTGACACAGCACACCAGAAACACATCTCCCCCCCCCCCCCCCCCATTGGAAACCACTTGCTTCTTCTTGGCTAATTCTAAACAGTATTCACAAGCCCTACAATCATAGCTTTTTTTTTCATACCTGGGCACAACCAGAGGAAACTAACCCCCCCCCCCCAACTCACTTTTGTAGGGCATCCTTTGAACCACTGTCAAGGAAAATCATATTATTCAGTCATTATACTGTTTAAACTCAAGGAAGGACCAAACAAACCTGTTTCAGGCAGCCTCCCTGGTCTATAGTCTCCTTTTTCTCTCACCAAGACACGCAGAGGATATACATTCATTCCAATTATCAGAAGAGGTCAGACCAGTTCCAAAGTTTCACTCTCTGTTGTTGCTGTTTTTTAACCAGCTCCTTTTAGAGATGGGGAAACCAAGTAAGAGTGCAATCCTAAGGAGAGATACACCCTTCTAAGCACCATTGACTTTACTGGAATTAAAATGCTAACTTTGTTTAGGATTGCAGTGTTCAGGGTTGTAGCCTATCAGCTTTCTCACAGGGTTGCCAGCTCTTAATTGGGAAATGCCTGGAGATTTGGGGGTGGAGCCTGGGGAGGGCATTGTTTGGTGAAGGGAAGGACCTCAGCAGCATATAGTTCCATAGAGTCCACCCTCCAAAGCAGGGGAACTGATATTGGTCGCCTAGAGATCAAGTGTAACAGTGGGGGATCTCCAGGCCCCACCTGGGGGTTGGCAACCCTACTTTGTCACTCCATCTAGCCTGATTCAGTTCTTAACTACAGCTCTCATTACATGCAGCCTTTCTCCATTCATGTCCTACAATCCACAGTGTAGCTTTTTCAGAGGTCAGAAGGGGTCTGTCCTCTCTCTTTGAGCAACAGAAAAGCTGGTAGGAGCAAAGCCTACAAATTAACAGTGCTACTTCTCACCACATATACTACTTTGAAGTATTCAGGGTGCTTCATGCATGCTATTTTGGGAATCTCTACAAGAACCCTGTAAAGTAGGTCAAAAATTACTATCCCTGTATTGCAGATGGGGAGAGTCAAGGAAGAGTGGCTTGCCAAGGCTGACTAGTGATTTCATGTCTCAGGTGGGATTTGAGCCAGGGCCTTTCTGATTCACAGTTCAATCTCTTAATCACTAAACTACATCTCAGTGACTTGCCCAAAATAGCTCCCCTACTTGCCTACCCAGGAGCCCATGGCCGCACTGGATCTGAAACTGAAGTCTCAGAGGTCTAAACTCCGCCCTTTACCGAAAAGTGCCATAGCAGTCTTTACAGTAGTTAAATACAGAGCTTAAAAGATATTTCAAATTCAAATTCTTTAAAACAAACATTCTGATAAACAGCAGGGGAGGGGCTTTCAAAATCCCAAGCCACTTGCACCAAACGTTTAGGCACCCAGGACATTCTTCCTACCATTCAGAATGAAAAACATACCATGCAGCTATTGCTGACACTCATACGAGGTCTGAATCAGCACATTTAAAAAAATAGCTTATGCTATCCAACTTCTACAAACCACCTTGAATGTTCTAAACATTACCCACTCCAGCTGAAACCGTATTCCCACAGTAGAGCCCACCCTTCCAAAGATCTGGATGCAGCAACAGTTCACACCTTCCTTTGGTCACAATCTCCTGTTTGCAAGCAGATCCCCCCCCAACAGCATGGCACACCTCAGTGTGTCAGTGGTATGATGATACCCCATGCCACAGACTCATCAGCATCCTCCCTCTCCTCCCAAGACAGCACCTTCTTCCACTGCGACTCCTTTCTTGCACACATTTTGCATGCTAAAATTCACATCCCTGCCGCATCAAAAAAACCCAATATTTTCTATAGTGTGTAAAAAGGCCACTGACAGTCCAGTTCACAACTCAGCGATGCCAAAACAGTTCAACTGAAGCCAGTTCGAGCGGACTGTAGACAACAGGACTATTCAAGTTAAGTTCGAACCGTTCATTTAGCTTTAATTGAACCGTTGACTGTTATCTGAGCATCAGTTGCCTCGTTCAAGACTGGGTTCAATTTCCCAACAGAAGTTAGCATAAATGAAAGAAGATCCCTCACTAATGCCCTGGAAACAGCAAGTGTCTCCCCTAGTTGTTGTTGTTTTTTTTAAAAAAAAAAACAACACGCTCCATTTGTGGCAGTCCGAAAAAGACTACCCAAAGGAACCACCCACAAAATCATAAAAAAGAATCATCTGTCTCTTCACTAACAATACAACTGATATAATTTCATTTGCTGAGAAAACCCCTGTCATAAAGTCTCAAGCATTAAGCCATCATCTGACACAACTGCACTTTAAACCCTACATTTTGAGCAAACCAAGATTTACTTGTCTATGCTGTTTGAACAGAACACGGGTGATCGGCATATATGAGGTACAATAGTTCCCTAACAGACTTATTCATGCTCTGCGGGATCATCACCATGACCTATGCAAGAACATATTTGTTGGAAATCAATCAATCAAACAAGACAGTTTCACTTGACAAACATAAGGCTGAGATGCACTGAGCTGTTTCACAGTAGCCAAATGTTGCCCAAATATTTGGAAAAAACCAAAACTAAAATCCAGACATTGCATCTTCCCTTTGGATTAAGTAACCCAGAATCATCACTTGGTTCTGTACCAACAACCCAGTGCATGGGGTGGGGTTATCATCCCGTTTATGTACCAAAAGGATAGAAAGTGAATTAAAAGATAACTAATCTGTAATAAACGACCCTGTGTAGATATTCAAGTAAGCTACTCTTCTCTGTCTCTCTGCCCGCCACTTCTGTTTCAAGGAGAAAAGTGGGGAGCACCCATATCTTTGTATTTTAAACTTATCCACTGCACCCAACCAAAAAACAGAACAAAATGAAATCGCTAGTTGAAAAGATTTTACCCTCCTATGGTCAAAAGAAAAGCCGTCCTCTTTCGCCCTCTGCCTCAACATTCTCCAAAGTCATCTGAGGTACATTATGTATTCTCAAAAGAACCACTGTTTCTTAACCCTCCCCCCTCCCCCCTCCCACATCTGTAAATACTAGAGTGAATTTCTTCAGGCGCACCAAAACAAAACCAAACATAAAGGAAAAGAAAGGGGAACCACAATCTCTTTCTCCTCTTTTTTTGCAAGATCAAACATCCCCCGGAGTTCCCAAGATCATGCCCTTCCCCCGTACAAAAAACCCCACTCACCTTTGGGTCCTGGTTGCTGCCTCTCCACTTGACCATTTAACAGCAGAAGTTGGGGGTTGGGGATCCCCCCAGTCCCAGTGTGAAAAGCAAAGAGATTTTGGGGGGTGGGGGCTTCAAAATAAAATGAGGTGAAGTTCCAGAAAGAGAGAAATGCTTCAGGCTCCCAGCACCTACTCACCCCCGGCACCTAAGGGAAAAAAAATCCCTCCCCTCACTTCCCACTCCTTCCTGCTCTCTTTTGGGCTCAATCAGACCAGACTGACTGTCTTTGTCTGTCTGACAAGCGCCATGTTGATATCAACATCCAAGCTCCCACCTGCTGCCGCTATGAGACTCTGGGACTTGTAGTTCCCAGCTCCCAAGGGTAAAGGGGAAGGACTACCCGCTTAGAACTACCACTCCCGACATCCTCTGCTAGCGCCATCACTCCAATGGACGACCGCATAAGGGAGCGCAAAGCGGGGTGGGAGACTACAATTCCCAGCATGCTCTCGGAATGAGCACTGATGACTTCATTCTGAGATAGGGAGGGTTGGCCAAATGAGTGGACTACATGTCCCAGGATGCTATGGGAGAGGCTTAGATCAGGAAAGAGAAGAAGGATGGTCACAGTAAATAGAGCCGGGTAAAGCATGAAGCTGGTGAGTTGGGGGGACTGTTATTCCCTCTCAAATACCTCAAGCCGTGGGTGGGCCTAGGAGGGGTAGCTCCAAATCCCTGCACTATTGTGGGGAGGGGTGTTTCAGTGGGATAGCAGTTAATTTTAAAATATTTATTAAGGTCTTCCTTTGAAGGTGTTGAAAGAATGATTTAATGCACAGTAATGATAGAAGTCAGTTTGCGCCAGGGGTAATCTTCAGAATTTGTTTTCAGAACTGCTGTACTCAGTCATTGAACTTTTCAAATCTAAAGTACTGTTTCCAGAAGTCGTAGTAAAAGTAGCCAAGAGTCTTGTGGCACCTTAGAGACTAACAGGTTTTTATCCTAGCATAACCTTTTGTAGACTGGAGCCCATTTTGTCAAACGCATGTTGTGAGACATTAAGTGCCTGTGTACATGTATGTATATGTATCACTCTCCCTCTTCCTCCCAAAACATGCTGCCAATTATTTATCAATCTGTATATTAAAAAAATGAAAATAGTCTTTCTCAACCTTTCTCACATGATGCCAGGTGTATATTCTGTTGATAGGTTGAAAGTTCATATCAGGGAAAAGAAAGGTCTACTTCGTATAATGACCGTGCGGAATTCCCTACCAGCAGATATGACCATGATTGTTTAGAAAGGGAACTAGACAAATGGATAGCATCCTGATATATAAGATGACATAATAGTGGAATGGAGCCTCTGTGTTTGGAGGCCGTATAGCACAGATTACCAGGTGCTGGGGACTGGTAGCAGGGGATGTTTTCATGCTTATGGGCTTCTTGGAAGCACTTGACTGGAAATGGAAATCTCTCCCATTATTTGTGCTATGTATGAATGTGGTTTTAAACAGTATAGACAGATTTAAATCAAGATGCTAAGCAGTGTAGTTTTACAGTCGTGTTAAATTTTATCAGCCAAACACTGGCTTAAGCCACAGAGTGCGAAATCGCTCTTTTGTCTTTATTCTCAGCTCATTTGTCTTTCAGTTTGTCTCTCACACATGCCCATTGACACCTATTGATTACAGTTTAATACACTGAAATGGTGAAAATCTCTGCAAAAAAAGAACTGGGTTATCAGACTTGCTCACTTTGGCTTAGCTCCTTCTCCTCCTCTTGCCAGTTGGAAGATGGTTTACGGCTTTAACATTCAGCACGTCAACAAGGTCCTTGTGTGCATCAATAGCTCATAGGTGGCTGCAAGAACTTGCCGTCCCCTTGAGGGTGTCCCCAAGCTTCTGACAGGCCAGAACTGAAAGTGAACAATTGCTATTCTGTCCCACCAATTGATGTTATGGGCAGTAGATTGGAGGATGGCGCATCTTGAGTCCTGGGCCATTTCTGCTAATAACAGCAGGTGGCCCTACTCCACCAAAGGATTCTTCTCCACTCTCACTCCCATCTTTCAAAAGATATACGTAAATACTTGAAATCTGGAAATTAGTCTGAATCAATATGTGAAATTCAGCCAATGTCACGTCACCCACTACTTCTTGGCCCTCGTTGTTCCCTTGGGGTTGCCAGCTTATAATGCTGCTGTTACTTGCAAAATCCCCTTCTTGGGGTCTAGAATCCAGGCCTAACAACCCCATGTTTTCTCCGTGCCAGTGTCTTCACACCCTCTCTGTATGATTTTGCCAGAATCTTGGCTCTCCCTCAACTCCACATTTTTTGCATAGGTTCCCACTTTTGAGGCCTTTGTCTTCTCTGTCATGCCTTTGGTTGCTACCCTGCAACTGAAGGCTCTCTGGCACTCCTGATGTGCTGAACGTTAAAGCCATAAGCCATCTTCCTACTGGCTCTCCTGCCCTCTGCCATATGTGCTGTCTTGTTTGTGACTACTCTTGGGGTTCTTAAGAGCCCCCTTCTACTGAATCTCTTCTTTCATTTTTCTTCTTCCCTGTTTTTTCAAGCCTCAATCCCCACCTACTTTTTCTTCACGCCACTCTTTCTTCGCTTATTACCTATTCTGCGCCCTTTCTCCAGCACACCAGCCCCTGGCTTTCCTAACCCTTAGCTTTCCCTTATCCCTGAACCTTTCCCCAGGCTTCAGTATGACCAAACTGACACAATGTCTCTCAAAAAAGTTAGACTGCAGACTGCTTCAGTCCCTGAATGCTTGGGGGGGGGGGCGAACAGTGGGAGGGCTTCTAATGTCCTGGCCCCACTGGTGGGCCTCCTGATAGCACCTGGTATTTTTGGCCACTGTATGACAGAGTGTTGGACTGGATGGGCCTTTGGCCTGATCCAACATTGGCGTCTCTTAGTTCTAATGTTCTTATGCCTAATTACATGTTAGGTTTTTCCCTTGGTCCACACAATCAAACATGCATTGCTTTGCAGCTTCTGTGCTGGGAGCTTAATCTGAGGCACATGCAGGTCTAATTCAGATCAGAACCACAGGGAGAGGTGGCTTCAGCCTTCCTTCCATGCCGTTTTCCCAATCTGAATGGTCCCAGGGAGGTGCTATTGGTCCTGTAGGGAGCTCCATATGCTCTCGTAGGGAACACTCCGGGCCGGCTCACTCACTAGGCGAACTAGGCAATCGCTTAGAGCGGGATGGCCCTTAGGGGCACCAAACTGCACCCGACCCCGTACTCTGGGAGTTTCTTGATTATTTGTGTTTTTTATTCTTCCTAAAATGCATTTATTTTTGAAAATTGTTGGGCGCATGGGGGGCATAAGGAATCCTCGCCTAGGATGCAAAATAAGCTGGAGCCGGCCCTGGGAACACTTCGCTTTTCTCAGTGGGACACTGAGGCAGTGTGGTGTGGTGGTTAAAGTGTCAGACTGGGATCTGGAAAACCCAGGTTCCAATCAGCGCTCCCTCTAAGCTGTGAAGTCTTGTGAGCAAAACTCCTACTTTGTGAGCTCCTGGCATTAAAGTTGTGAGTGAGCAATTTGGCTACTGCATACATTAGTTTGCTCTGGAGCCATCGTTCCTGAGCTAAGACAAAACTTTGTGTGAGCTGGAGGCTAAAAAACTGTGAGCTAGCTCACATTAACTCCGTTTAGAGGGACCACTGGTTCCAGTCCCCGCTCTGCCATGGAAGCTTGCTGGGTGACCTTGGGCCAGTCACACATCCTCAGCCTAACCTACTTCACAGGATTGTTGTGAGGAGAGCAATGCAAGCCTCTTTGGGTCTCTGTTGGGGAGAAAGGCGGGATATAAATGAAGTAGATAAATAATAAATAAACAGCCACTCCCACCCTCCACAGCTGTTTTCAGGCTGGGAAGACAACATGGGGGCGTGGCTTAAACCCCTTCTCTTGTGCTATGGTCCCAATCCGAATCAGGCCTGTGTGTGCCTGAGATTAAGTACCCAATATGGAATTTGTGGAATATGTTTGCTTGTGAGGACCGGGGGGGGGGGGGGGGAGTAACATAGTTATACCCCGAGGGACTGAATATTCTGAGCCATCACACCCTCTAAGCCAATCAGTGTTGGCTGTTTCACTGCCACACAAGCAGTAGATACAAGATAAACAGAAAATGCAGGATGTGTTCTCCAAGCATGAATTTTGTGCAATAGGTGTGAAAATGTCTTCTTTTTCATTTTCTTTAGCCCATCAGGGTGGCTTGGATTTTGCGTATACAAAATGTCAACTTCCTAGCTGATAAGTGATTTCTTCAACATCTACGATGCTCCTGCCAGGTCTTGTTATAAGTCAAGGAGGCCCAAGTCTGTGCCTGTATAAATGTGTTATACTTTCCCCACTTTTCTAAGCAGCAAGAAGTTCCAGCAGTAGAGTACCTCTGGAGGCGAGAACACTGGAGACTTGAGGATTGTGTAGTATTTGTCTTGCATGGTAGTAGATCTACCCCACATCAGATTCCTTGAGGGAGATCCTGCAATGCATGTCAGAGCAGCTCACGCCCCCAGTTCACTTGCTTGTGTCTTGGTCTCTTCCGGAATCTAGACGGCTCTTTTTTCACATACAGACACTGTCCACCCTATCTCCTCAGCTGAGGGGTGCTTGGATAGAGCTGTTTCCTAGAAACACTGCTGTTCCTTTTGTCAAGAACTCTGGCTCCCCCGCCCCACCATTTTAGGCTGAGCCATAGGTTAGAACCATTTGCGCTATCTAGGCTTCAAACTGGCAACACCAGGAGTAAAAATACAAGTCCTGTTCACAGGTTACAATGAATGCAAGTAGAATCTGGGTATTTGGTTTTTCTTTATACATGCATTGAGTAATTCTCGTGTTACACTCATTGCACAAGCAGCTGAATGGTCACATTGATCCAGGCACTGGGTCTTGGTTTCATTTGTAAAACGGACCCACATTGGTTCTTTCATACAAGCAGGTGTACGCACACCCATGCAGGTTGTATGTTCATTCACTGTAACATGTACACAGGGCAATGGCAACAGTTCCAACACGTGAAGCATTCTGCAGACCAATGTGTTCGAATGCCCTATATTGCATTTCAATGAACTATAGTACAGCCTGCCCTGTGATGGTAATTGCTCTGGAAAAAGGTGTAGATGACTGTGAAAGTTTTGCAGCGGGCAGTATATTGCAAGGTTGTAATGTCTGGAGTCATAGAATTCAAGGATGAGAAAAAGCAGTGTGGGTTCTTGCTCAGTAGTCTGGCAGTAATTCTGGCACAGTAGTCTGGCTCCCTTTCCTTACTGACACGCAGTTTGGTTGTTCATTAAATCTGATCTCATTCTTTCAGTACTGCTTGTCCGGGCATCCGACTTTACCATGCAACGTGCTCAAGTTCAAATCTACCACCATCATGTTAGACTGTGGGCTGGATATGACCTCCACACTCAACTTTCTCCCCCTGCCGCTGGTCCAGAGGTATGCCTCAGCACTTATTAGATACTTCCCACTGTTTTCGCTTCCTGTTTTCCAGAGCTGTATTTGGGGAGAGAAATGCAGAGTGGCATAAAATGATGGGTAGCATTGGAAGGCCAGGACTGGAAGTTGGGGGTGGGGGTGGGGTAGGTTACAGGAGAAGAGGGGAGTATCATCCGATCGCATAAATAGACTGAGTCCACTTAAAAATTCCCTTTATCAAAATAATGTCCTTTGGCTCAGTAGACGGAAAACGTTTTATGGATTTATCGATTTGGTTTTCCAGATAATTTATTCTAAGCTTCAGTAAAGTATTGCAGCAGCGGCCCAACGCAAGTGAGGTCACAGATCTGTCATCTTTCTGGCTTCTTCATGCAAGAGGAGATAAATGGGAGGTAGCTCTAAAGTGCAGGCATGCCAGGCATTCCCGCCCCAAGTTAACCACCCCTGTAGTTGGCTTTCTACATAGTCAGAAGCCAGGCACATTAAGTATGCACTGGAGGGCCTTTGCTCCTGTTTATGCAAAACAAGGGAAATGTCCATCCTGTATATTACAAGGTCCCCTCTGTCTGTGTGTGCACGTGCGCACACGCACACATGGAGCTATGCATTCGATGGGACACCTGTGTTTGGAATACTGTCTGTAGTTCTGGCCTCCCCTTATGGAAAATGATATTGTAGAGCTGGGAAAGGAGCAGAAAAGGCTACCTGGAGCAATGGAAATTCTTCTGCTCATTTGACAGTGATGGAACTTCAAGGGGTCAGTCAATAAAACTGGCTGTCGGCAAATGTGGGACAGGCAAAAGGAAGTAATTCTTCATAAATAACTGGTGGAATTTGTGGCTACAGGATGGGGCCATGGGCTTATTAAAAAATGAGTTGGGCAAATTTTGGGGTGTTGGGTCCCCCAATAGCTTAGTTGTGATAGCCAACTGAAACCGCTGTGTTTAAAGGCAGTATACCTTAGGATGCCAGTTGTTGAGACAAGCAATGCAGGAGGGCTGTTGCTTTCTTGACTGGCTTCCGGGCATTCCAGTGGCATTTTGCTAGTGGCAGTGGGGGGAAAGAATGGTAGATTAAGTAGACCTTGGGCTGATCTAAAAAGGTGGTCCTTCTGGTCTTGTGCAGTCTGTCTCTCCGTGACCTCCAAGTGCAGCTTTTTAGTCTCCCCCCCCTCCCCCATGGGAGACACTGAAATGGGGACATCATTTGTGTGTGGACTAAACTCCCTGTCCTCAGTGAGTCCAGTATTCTTGGGGCATGTCCAGGCTTGTGGCTTATTTCCTGCCATAGAGCTGAAGGGGAACCATTGAGAATTCACCCAGGCCCTGCCTGCATGTCTCTGCCATTGGGTCTTAGTGCCATGTTAGTGTGTAATGGAACTTTGAGGTGTGGCTTCGTAATACATATGGACGAGACGGAGCTCAGAAAAAATTGCAGAGGTGCTTGTTGTATTTTGAGATCAGACAGGGTGCTTGCAGAGGTTGAAGCCAGCCATGGGGTGGGCACCTGGAGATCTCCTGCTATTACGGCCAAGATCAGTTCTCCTGGGGAAAACGGCTGCTGTGGAAGGTGCACTCTGTGGCATTATACCCTGCTGAGATCCCTCCCCAAACTCTGGAAGGTGGAGAGACCTGAGGTGTGGGCTTTCTGCCAAGGAGGGAAATAGTCTGTCCTCTTCAGCAACCCCTCTGCCCTTCTTTGAAGCCTCTGTGCTCTCCTGCTGGAAGAAGAGCAAACTGGCCACACAGAGGAGAGAGTACAATCACCACCAGGAAAAGGCTGAGCTGGCCACAGTGGGGGCAGGTGGTGGTTTTATTCCCCTTTCTCCATGGCCAGCTTGCTGCCCTCTGGGCTCCTCTCTGACCTGAGCGGCTCTGCCTCGTGCTGGGGAGAGTGAGAATACAGCAAGGGAAAAATAAAGGGCGCAAAGGTTCAGCGTAGAGATGTGAAGGCCCGGGGAAAAACCAGAAAAATTCGGGGGGAAAACGTTTTTTCCCCTTTTTTTTCCTGAAGCCTTTTTGTTTTTTTCCGAAAAATTGGAAAAATTGAAAAAAGAAAAAAAATTGACTATGGAACGTTTTATTTTAACATGAATAAAATATTTTAAGACAAAGTGTTCAAATATTTTCCAAATCATTTCTAAAATACATATATATGGTATCAGATTGATCTAATTTCTGTGCACTGAGGACAAGCAAGTCCTAGGTTACAAACAGAACTCTCCAATGCAAGAACAAGATGCATTTCTTCCTTTAGGAGGTGCTATTGTCAGAAGAAAATAAAAACGTTTCAGTTTTTTTTTTTTTTTGCATGTGGGAGGGTATTCTATTTGTACTAATTGTTTGGATACACTATATTTTTAATATGCTAGTTGTGATAATTTCATGCCAAGTAAAAATGTCCATACTCATATATTATGTTCCTAAAGTAACAGAATGAGTTTCAATCTAGAAAAGACAAAATAAATGTTAATGTAGCATTTTTTTCAATTTTTCCGAAAATGTCCATTTTTTTCCGAAAAGGGGAAAAAACGGGGTTTTTTCCAAGCTTCAAAATTTCCGGAAATTTTACATCTCTAATTCAGCGATGGTGGCGAAAGGCAGCCCCACATGCTCAGAGGTACCCTGGGGTTTTCATTGTAGTTCTGTATCTAATATGGATACTTGTTTATTTTAAACATTTGTATGCTGCCTTTCCATCAGATCAGGGTCACCAAGGCAGCTCACATAAAAACAATTGAACAATTAGAAACACCATTATAATGATAACATAATGCGATTAAAACACAAAGAAGCAATACGTGTTTGGTTGGGTGGCACGTGGGGGCACGCAGACCCGGTGTGACTATTTTTGTTGATGTTAGTCATGAATGTGGCTGTCCGTGAGTGCAGAGTGAGTACTATTGGGCTGCTCTGCCTAGCAGCAGCTCTGGGGTTGCTGGTGGAGGCCTCTCACGTCACCTCCTGCCTGATCCTTTTATCTGGAGATGCAGGGACCTTCAGCATGCAAAGCAGACCACTAGAGCTATTGAGACCCTTTAACTGCAGATGAAAGAGATTAAACCCAGTGCCTGCAATGTGCATGCTCAACCCCTTAAGACACAGCCTTTTCCCAAGTAGAAGGATGACAAATTTCTCAGTAGTAAACATTCATTATGCTGAGCAGCTCACTATAAGGATGATTGGGGGTGTAACGAAATGGCTGCCAGGCAGAGGCAGCAGTTTATTTTAAAATGGCTGCCAGTCTGGTAGTCCTTTACATCCCGGCCTACATTTCCCGCCAGCTTTAGGGGAAAAGAGTGGGAAAGTAGGGACCCACCCCGGGGGCGGAGCCAGCTAGATAAAGGCTTTGACCCCTCAGGGGAGTTTTTTAGTTTTGGCCTTTGCCTGAGCTTGAACAGCAGCTTCAAGGGGTGTGTTACAGGTGGGACTCCTGCTACCAACACTCTGTGGTCAGTCCAGGCCACTATAAATCATGGTGGAGGGTTAGCAGTATTGGTGACCAGTCCTGAGGAGGGCTGAAGTTTCTCTCCAACCAAGAGGAGGGGTAAGCAAATCCTGGCCTGCAGCCACCCACTATAGAGGTAGAGAGGGTGTGTGTAGGGGACAGAGGAATTGCGTTTAGATCGTGTTTATTTTCTGCCCAGGTTGAGTCGATGTGCTTGTGTTTATTTTCTGTGCCTTGTATATAGTTAAAATAAATCTTTTTAAATTATAAAGCCTGGTAATGCCTTGACCACATAGTCCTCACCGCTCAGCCAGAGGCAAAAGGAGGCCAGGGAACTCAAACGGTCCCAGACCGGAGGGGTTGTCAACTCTCCAGGGGGCACCCAAAGATTGGGGTACCCACTTTCCCGGATTGGGGAATCAGCCATAGGGGTCTCACTGTCCCTCTAGGAAGGCAGTGTGAATCCAGTGAGTGGTGGCAGCGAATGAGGGACTTGGGAATGTTTAGTCCAGAGAAGAGGAGGTTGAGGGGGGACATGATTGCTCTCTTTAAGTATTTGAAGGGCTGTCACTTAGAGGAGGGCAGGGAGCTGTTCCTGTTGGCAGCAGAGGATAGGACTCACAAGAACGGGTTTAAATTAAGGGTGGGAAGGTACTGGCTGGATCTTAGGAAAAACTTTTTAACAGTAAAAGTTTTGCAACAGTGAGATCAGCCGCCTAGGGAGGTGGTGATTTTTTAAGCAGCGGCTGGACAAGCACTTGTCAGGGATACTGTAGACTGATCCTGCATTGATCAGGGGGTTGGACTAGATGGCCTGTATGGGTATTTCCAACTCTGTGATTCTATGATTCTAGGTATACATTCATGCACACATACTGAACTGTTTGGCACCAAATAAGTGCAAGAATCAAACTTGAATGTGGGATTTGATGAATCCTGACTGTAACCATTGAGCACACAGGATTTGAGTCTAGTCCAAGTTGGTTTCCCATCTGCCTGCCCAACCAATGGAGGGAATCTTATACATGCAGAAGTGCATAGGTGTTGCCCAGAGATGAGCTACAGGTAGATCTCAGTTGTCTCCCCCCCAATACAGGCCTGGCATGACCATGTAAGCCAACTATGTCGCTATCTGAAGTACCAATGGAGATGGAAGTCAATTTCTTTTCTGTGCTAAAAATATTAATATGCTATCGCTTATTTTTCTCTATATTGAGGAGGAGCAGGAACCAAAATCATAGTTTGCCCAGGGTGTCAAAACCCTTCCTTTGGCTGGCCCTGCCCCCAGAGATCCAGCCCGCCACCAGTTCTTCCCCCAAACTCCTTGTGGCTTCTAGAATTTCAGCCAGCATTGCTTGCTCAATTGCAAGCTTATCTTCACAGCCATAGGGACTAGAAACTTGCCTCTTGCTGCTTTTTTTTTTTTAAGTTAAAGTCCAGTTTTTAGGAAGTGGAATCCTGCAGCCAATGCCACCTTCTCTGTGCTCCTACAGACACAGCACAGGTTATGTGTTGTGCAGGCCAGAGTAAAGTTAAACTACTGCTGTGTGTGT